GGATTCCTGCCCCATCCCCAGGGGCTAGGGCGGGGCCCCAAAGGGAACATTTACCAATATTTTCAAATTCTTATCCATTGATGACATGACAAGTATTGTATTTCACTTAGTTTACATGCTGATTTCCACATCACATCTAAACAATAAAATAAAGCTACCAGTACCTATGATATAACTCAGGTGACCGCTAAGGCCCTTGGGCCTCTTGTTTACGTAGACATGAATTGGCTGATTTGTTTTCGTACATTTTTTGGTTTTCTGTCATCTTAACCTAAACATACCAACTTGTATAAAGATTGTTTTTAAATGAAATAAAAATTTAGTTCCTTAAATTGTTTTCTTTACTTACAGATTTGCTAGACTGAAGAAGATACAGGCGGTACAAGCCAGCCGCTACCTATATATCCGTTTCGTTGCCACCACAGGCGATGCCATGGGAATGAATATGGTGTCGAAGGTATTGTCTAATGGGAACATCATTCCCGGCTTTAATGAATAGTAGGAGTTTTTCTGTCACCCATGGTTTTCAAGCAATTGATTTGAGCACGAAAGTGATGTTTTATAAATGATTGACATTGATATGATCAGTTGTAAAAGTCTCTGGTTTGTTTGTCAATGATACCATATGATCATGATGTATAGAATAGTGTTATCATTCAAGAAAAGTATTAGGTTTGTCAATGAAAACCTGCTCAAATGTTGCTTCATCAAAAAAACCTGTGTGTTAAATGGTAGTGTTTTTTTTTAAAACTGTAAATTGTGATAATCCTTGATTAATTGATGCACTGTTTTCCTCTCCAGAAGTTACGTATATAAAACTCTGAACGTCTAGTCACTGTTACTTATAAGTGATTACATTGTCATTTCATACCGGCTCTAACGATCTCTGTAGGTTCAATTTGATCACGACACATATGACTTAATTTCATTTATATACAGTTGTAACTATACAAGCCATTGTTACAGGGATCGGAGAGAGCGTTGACCACCATTTTGGAGCAGTTTCCCGACATGGAAATCTTGAGTCTTAGTGGGAACTTCTGTACCGACAAGAAACCTTCAGCAGTGAATTGGTTAGTATTACTTAACACTGTCAGGTAGTGTGCTCACAGATTTACTCCTACAGAGATGTTAGGTGACAGAATACCTCTATATCTTATTGCAGATTTTTCTACCTTGATACATTTGTTCATACCTGTATTTAAAAGGACTGCAATCATATGCATATCTCACATTACAATCTTTTGAAATAAATTTTGAGTATGATATACAGTGGACCACGTCTTTACTGAAGGATTAAACAAAATCTATGAACGCTTTTTTTAAAAGTTTGATAAAAATTGATTGATAATTTAAGTACTATTAGTGCACAATATTGGTCGACAAAACGCAGCCCTAGTATTTACAATATGTAACTATCATACATGCTGAATCTTAGGTGAAGGTCGATTGGCTTTTGCTAGTTGGAGGGACAAGGCATTGATTGTCAATCATACTGTTAGTTATTCTGTAGGTCAGAGGGTCGAAGGACTGATGAACAGTCTGTTTGTTTGTTAAATGAAACGACAAGACATGAATTAACAGTCTCTTTGTTATTTTGTAGGTTGGAGGGGCGAGGCAAGTCTGTGGTATCTGAGGCTGTGATCCCAGCAAAAGTAGTGAAATCTGTGCTAAAAACATCCGTAGCTGCACTTGTTGACCTGAACATCAGTAAGAACCTGATGGGATCTGCTATGGCCGGAAGTATTGGGGGCTTCAACGCCCACGCAGCTAACGTGGTCACTGCCATCTTCATTGCTACAGGACAGGTGAGTGGTCAATGGTCTTGTGTTGTAAGAAATAGTGTTTGGTATTTCAAACCTTATTTCAGTGAGATAGCACTATACAGTCGGCATCAGATCCCCGCTATCACAAGGAGGCAAATACACCAACATACCCTGCCTCCTGCACATACACACATGCACGCTTACACAACACACATGGAAGCACCTCCTTTAAAGACCTTAGCTGTTGATAGAAGGTTAAACAAAAATAAAACCAAACCAAAACTTGAAACCGAAAAAAGTGACAGGAAAGTGAATGTTGAACGCCATGTTTTGTACACACAACTATATACATGCTACTTTCAAACACTCAGATGATTGATTAAGTCTTGTAATATCAGAAAGGTAAATGTTAAATTGGTTATTTTTGGCCCGTCTTTTTGAGTCGTACATGTATATACATTGTGTTGTTTCTGTTGTAGGATCCAGCTCAGAACACGACGAGCTCTAACTGTATCACACTGATGGAGCCGACCGGACCTGACGGTACTGACCTCTACATAAGCTGCACCATGCCCTCCATAGAAGTGGGAACAGTCGGAGGTGGTACCATACTTCCTCCCCAAGCCTCTTGTCTCCAGGTAATACCGGTACCCCTATATCATATATACTATAATAGAGCATATTTCATACAGGCCACGAAAAAGTGCTGGAATAAAGTCAGTGCTGGAAAAGCACTTGAAAATAGGTATATCCTGGACATTTTCTGATATTTGCTCAATATTCCATGAAATGTACTGGAATATATATATACTGCAGAAAACATGTATTATTTTCTATGAAGGTTGTTTCAATGTTATGTTGATATAAAGTTTATCCAAAAATAAACTTATTTTTTAATCTGTTGACATTACTTTTGAATTACTGCTATATATGAACATTTGTACACTTAAATGTAAATTCTCAACCCAGCAGCAAATATGCCCAGAAAAATTTAGGAGCTGTGTGAAGAGGTGGAAACTTTTTGAGTAGTATGAATTTTACTACATTGTCTGATTAATGAGAGGTCTGGAGTAATTATATTCATTTGAAATTGAATTCAGCTATATGTGTTAGTAAAGTCTGATATATTTGTTGCTTCAGATGCTGGGGTTATGTGGGTCAGTGGGCAAGGCCGGAGACAGCGCTGGTCAGCTAGCCAGGGTGGTTTGTGCAACGGTCCTTGCTGGAGAACTCTCCCTCATGTCTGCTCTGGCCGCTGGACATCTTGTCAGAAGTCACCTCAGACACAACAGGTATAACTCATAACTCAGACGTAACAGTGAAACCTGTCTAGTCCGACACCCTATGGTAACCAAACTATAGGTCAGATTATACAGGGGTCAGAAAACTCAGGTTCTCTTAGATACTTTAAGAAATGAGATGAGATTTATGGCAAATATGGCAGGAGGTTGGAATACTCAGAGATCAGATTAGACAGGTTGTCAGAATGTTATGGTGTCAGATAAGACAGGTGTTACTGTAAATGGAACTCGTACCTTGTAAAATTCAATTTCCAAGATTTAATTGAAATCTAATTGATAGCAGTGTGCCTTCGATTCATTCAGAAATCCTCAAATTCAAGTTTAACACATTATGAAATTTTTACTAACCTGCCAAAAAATGGCTATTGAACATTTTTGATATCAATGTCATTTTGAAATTAACAAACATTTATGCAGCTTTTATATACAGTATCCAGAAAAGCATAGGTTGACATGCCAGTAATTTGCTGTATTTCTGTTTTCTTCAGATCCACTTTGAATGTGATAGCAGATCCCAGTGGTTCTAGTGTATCTAAGGATAGTAGTGCGGAATCAATTTCATGTAACAGTGCATCTAACCTCAGTAACGACAGTAACCAATCACAGCCAGGACCTGGAACATGTATGTCACGGTCAGGAACATGTATATCAGAAAGTACTACCAGTGTGTCAGGGCCAGGAACATGTATATCAGAAAGTACTGCCAGTGTGTCAGGGCCAGGAAAATGTATATCAGAAAGTACTGCCAGTGTGTCAGGGCCAGAAAAATGTATATCAGAAAGCACTGCCAGTGTGTCAGAGCCAGGAACATGTATATCCAAAGCATCATGACACCCCATACACTTATTAAAACCATTCCACTGACTAGTCATTATTGAAATTGTGAATCAAAGTCTACCTTGGTGATACACTTGGGTTATGTTGTACTGTTCATCATCGGGAGGTGCTGTTATATATCTATGTGCCCATGTTTTTTGAGGGTTAGTGTTATTTATTTTTGTAAGTTTTCTGAAAACAAACCAATGTTTAGTACATGTTTTAATTTTTAACGAAATGTTTGCTTAAGCCAAATTTTGATAAATTCGTGTAAGCCTGATTTAATCATTTCGATAGTTTTTCCTCCTCATCTGCCTGAACTGTAGTCCCACAGAGTTCATTTCTTAAGACCTTTTCACAGAAGGAAATGAAACTGAGAAAGATACATTTTACATAAATTCTCAAGAAACAAGCAGCAGTCTGTAGCAATGCTTTTCCCATGAAAATTATTTTTAACACCCTGCAAACAATTATCCATGCATTTTGACAATAGCATAGTTAAACACTTCTCAAGATAGTACTCTAAGGGCCTGCTTGATTTGTACTCTTGGGTTCCTGATGACTGACCAGCAGCTAGATGGCATGTCGCTCATTAGGAATAATCTTCGCCCAGGCAGTCTACCTGGCATATATCATTTCCCCCAGTTTTGCCCAAGCAGTTGATATCGGCCGAATATTTCACGATGTCAACAGACTTGAGCAATATATCTATGCCACAACTTTTCATTTGCTAATATGTTGTTCGGAAGATGAGCAAAATGTTTTTTCAGAAAGGATGCATACTAGGGCCCCTGGCATCCGTACTTCTGTTATGCTGAACTTTGAGCTTGATCTGAATGTCAGACGATCACCGACCAGCAGTTAGCAGTTCCTACTGAGCAGTTCACTGTACTCAACAAGCCGAGCAGGCCCTAAGTCACATTTTGATTAATCATGCATTTGATTGAGTTTAAGAAGGGATAATTCAGGCTCTCTTGCTTTTTTGAGAGGGGCAAAATGCCAGTTTGCTAAATATAAATCATGTGTATTCCCTATGATTTTTTTTGCATTTTTTTTCCCCAGTAGCTTTATAACAACGAAACTTCTTTTGAAGTTTGTGCTATGTAAAAAGTGTTCTATTTATACTTTTAAATTATGTACACGACTGTTTACTGTTGAATTTTGTTCATCAGGGCATTTAAAAACAATTCAATCCAGACACATTAATAGAGTAACTGCGATTGTTAGTCCTAGGGGGTATTAGCCTATTGATAACACAATGTAATATATTTGTTACCATGGCGACAGGTTGTGAAGTGCTAATGCATTTATCAATACTGAACTTTACCGATGAAGTAACCTTAACGAACAAACTGTCATTGCATTGATGATAAATTAAAGTATGTCGATACAGTTATTGAAGTACAGGGTTTAGTGTCAAATGTGGCGAGTTTGAGGCTACTAGGGAGATGTGAAAAAATTGCCTTTATAATTTGCCTTTCTTTTTTACTTAACAATAGGCATGTATATTCACTTATATTGATATATGTTCAAAGATTTAAAACAAGGAGTATGCGTCACAATTGTACTGTGCTGAATATATATTTGTGCAATTTGGATCCATGTGTTCTTGTCAGTAATTTGCCACTAAGATCATATCCTTTAATTGCTAATGACCATTACAACTTTGCTTTCTTGGGAATGGAAGTAAAGTTTCTATTTATTAATTTAGTACAGGGAAGGTGGCCGAACTTTAGAATTGTGGCAACATATGAAGTTTCATCAAAACTCTTTAGAAATAAAGTCGCTATGGCAAGGACAAATAGAATGCTATATCTTTCTACAGCTTCATGTATATCCAGGGTATATAGTAAATCTATTAATGTTTTTTTGTGAAAAACAAATTTATGAATAAAGATATTGTAACAATATACCAATGAAAGATATGAGATAATAAATATGGTAATATATAATTTTAACAGTTGTTGTTTTTGTCATTGTATTTTTGTTCTCCTTGGCAGAGTTCCCATTAATTATGGCCAGTTAAAACCTGAGTATTGCAAACAGAAAATAATATGCCCTTGTCAATATATATAGTTAAAAACTTTCATTAAAATATGTTCAATTTACAGTAACATGTCTTTTTTAGGATACAAGAAGAATATATCATATATGTATGCATATTTTCAAAAGGGTTATATTAGCAAAAGAAAATCAAGAAAAAGAAAAAGAAAAGAAATTTCATGATTATATTACATTTTTATTATTGATAGTATTGCTCCGACTTAATCACTCTCAAACACCACTTGTTCTGCAAGACACTTGAGTTATCTCCCTTACTCTCACTTCCTGTCGCTCCAAGCACTGTCACAGTCACCAGTGTGGCAGTGAGCATCCTCCACTACAAACCCTTAGCAATGTACATACAACAAAACAGAGTCAAATACCTTGTACAGGTCAATGTTAAAACATTTGACATATTCTCGTCAATGGAATACTCTGTGGATAACATTTCTGTGATGGATGATGATCAGATGATTTATACTTTGAAGGATTCTATTGTCAACTTAAAACACTCTAAAAACAGTAACGTAAAATAAATGGCACAAATCGTTTGATTTGACGACATTCACAAACCGTACAAACGTACGAAAGTTTGCATGAACTTTGTCCTGTATCATAATTGGACAGAACACAAGACAATTATGGAATGAAATAAAACAGAGATCCCTAAAACACTGGAAAAGGGAGTTCTCAGCTCTCTAAAACATCTAAAGCATATTCAGTATAATACAGACGTAATACATTTCAAGTTTATTAAACGTGTCTTGCATCATAAACCGTAGGCTTACATGTAATTCCTCCGTCGACACACCTGTGCATACTATGACAAATGAGCCGATACGTGTACATATTTACACTTTGATACGTGTACATATTTACACTTTGATACGTGTTCATATTTACACTTTGCAGAGTAAGCAGACACATGTCTATTTACACAATGTCGCGAAGACCGACACACAAGTCAATATAATAAGCGTACGATTTGCATTGAGTTTGAGCAATAAAGCTTGACTATAGCTGTGGTTCACATCACTTCTAAAATACTACAGAGCTATAACTCTAGATTACTCATATTTCACTGACTTAATTTTTCGAAACTGACTTTCTTTACATATATGTGTTGACAATAATGTGTTTTACTCAATGTGTATGTCGGAGTAATTGTTCGTATGATACATCATCGATAACTAATGCAAACATACGCAAAATTAAATGCGTGAAATAAAAGTGATCTGCGTGGTAGGAGTACTAGAATACTACAGATTATTCATGACGACGCTACAATTCTAAGAGTACTGTAATAGTACTGTTGTAGTGGATACTTCTACAGGTATACATTGTCTATCGGACATCGGTATAGTAAGTCTTAACATGATTATACGGCAATAAATATTCTATACATCGATAGTCACATCATCATTGAACGGGTACCTCACAGCTGGATTTCTTCTAAATCGGCTTTTATTATGGCACACCTGTCTGAAAGCTCCATGAAACTTTTACAACACTTGGCGTTACGTCGATTTTAATTCAGTTTTCAAATGCCACGTGAAATATTGTGCATCACGTAACACATTCAATGTCGAGTCAACAATATTTACAGCCAGTAATAAGGCTCTTCGTTCTATGCCAAGTTAAATTTCCATCTGAGGTCTAAGAGAGTCGGGTCAGAGGTAACATGTATGTCTATATTCTAAATACACAATCACATTCTGCATATCAAACATTATACCAAGTCTGTGTCTTTTCATCAAGTTATATGTTCAGAAATACATGTATTGCTTGTTTACATGGCAAAACGGAAATGAAATAACAATTTCAGTTGGCTACACACCCAGCCTTAGAAATGTAGTTATATAACAACAGACTTGTAATGTCACTCACACCTATTAAATAGGGTCACAAAAATTCCTTTGGTTTATTTCTGACCAAAATGACTACCAGTCTGTTTTCAACTAAAGTAAATAAATAAATGTTACAAAATACATACAAAGCGATAACTAAAATATTGATCTAAAAAATCATGATTGTTTCAAACCTCAGGAGCCGTTAAAATGAACATCACCCTTTTGAATTCATTATTATAACTAACATTGCACAATTACCTAATGTACATAATTTATATAGAGCACTATCACATCTAAATGAAAATGTTTGCATCAGAACGGAACAAAAAGTTACACTTAGGAACTATCTACCTTAGCTACACATAAAAATTAAAAAGGCACAAAGTACATGTTTATTAATTAATGGAATATCACAGACTCGTTTACACACAGCAACTATTATATGATAATATATTTATATAGAATGATATTTGCATATATCAGAAATCAGCAACAAGTCTATTGCTTCTAATAAAAGAAATAGTGAAGATTCTCCTATTACCAGTTTGTAAATAATTTCTCAGGTATTATTCATACATAAACAGGTCAAAAGGTGACCCAATATAAAGCAATACATGTCACTACTACTTTTTTTTTGGTTATTTTGACACTGATATTTGAAATTCTACACTGAAACACAAACCAAAAACTTCCTTTCAGAATCACTTTTTAAAACTGAATCAATTTTTCAACTTGTTTTTTCTGAAGTCATGAGTCTTGTCTATTAAGTGAATACAGAGGTTAACTACGAAGGGGTGTACGACAGAAATAAATCACTACTGGTATTTATTGCAAATTTTTACCTGATGTTCTCATTATAAATGGTAAAACTTAATGTTTAAGAACTGTTTTCTTGGTTCATTCTTCCGTGAGGGATGAAACGGTTAACCGTCTCCTGTTCCCAATGAACTGTTCCAAGCGCAGTAAATAAATCTGTGCATAATGATTTCTCTCCTCTTGGCTTCCCCCATTAGGGATGAAACGGTAAAACTGTTCCATGCGCTATATGTATATCCATAATGATTTCCCGCACATCCCCCATCTTGTTATTTGGGTAACGTTTTAGGGACAGTCAAAACTGTTGTCCATTGTAGATAGCTACTCCTTGGTTTAACAGTTTTCCAAGTCTTCCCTAGCACCTCGGGACAACAGTTCTGACAGTTTACAAAACATCTGTGAAGATACCTATCACAATACCGTGGTCACCGTACGATACATATCGCGATATATATAGTAACAGTAGAACCAAAGAGAAAAGTTATGTGGACAATTTTTAATGGCATTACTACAACAGGAAATAGACCTGGTCCAGAATGGGCATGACTTTAAAGTTTCACACAATTCACGTCTTTCGACGTGCATGCCAAGCTTAAGCTGTCACTTGCCATGTGGGAACGGATATGAGTTGACTAAATTCAAAAGCAGCAAAATCTGGAAAATATCATAGGTGTATCGTGACCTCCCAAAATTATTGTGCATCGTACTGTATTCAAAATGTTGCGATATATCGTCGCAGCCCTAGTAAATTGGTTAGGGGAGTGAGTAAACATCATCCACCCTATACATGTAATAAACACTTACACTATTCTGACTGGGGGATATACTATTCTGACTGGAGGATATACTCAAATAAGTATATTTTTTTTACACACAGCAATGTTGATCAAGGACGCTGATGTTGACATTGTAAAGAATGTGTTTATCTCAATCACCCCTGACGACACATTTGAACTCTTCCAATTCAAAGGTTGGAATAATTCATTATGAAATTTCAGGGGTTAATGAGTTAAGACATATTTCATAATTCAATGATAGAAACATTACACAGTACGTACATCATAAACATCAATAACAATGAGAGCCTGGAATGTTTTAAGTGTCCACTTCACTGTCCAGTCAATGGTCAAACACATCACTGGTCAACCTTAGTTAAAATCGTGTTATAAAAGTCTTGACACCTTACATGACACCATCATTCATCATATAGGAAATACACAACTATTTTTGTTGAAGTTTTCTCAACAAAGACCAGAAAAACATGTTAGTTTCAGTTAAACCATTGAACCGTGTACTTAATTAATTCAATTAAAGTTAACAACTATTTTTTTTCAAAGTTTTCTCATCCAAGACCAGAAAAACAATTCATTTTCAGGGTGACCCATAAACCTCCCAGTCAACTAAGTTGAGCATTCATACATGTATGAACTTAAAGCCAAATCACCCCTTTTTGCGGTAAAATACAAAACAAGATATTGTTTTGATTAATCACAAGATACTACATTGCAAGTGTATAATCACATACTAGTTCTACCGATCACAGACTTATCTCCCCTTTGTGTGTTGTGCGGCCGAGCTGACTAGATTACAAGTTGTATTATCACCTAGGTGCCAGATAAAAATGTCTGGCAGATGTTTGTTTGTCCTATACTCTTAGAACATTGCTACAATGTATATTATCTATACAATAACACAAACAGCACTATAAAGAGGTGTTCCCACTGACTTCTGGTATCTTTAATGCAGTATATGGCATACATGGGGCAATTATTTAAATGGGTTTAAAGCTGTACCATGGCCATATGTTTTCTATGCATGGATACAGGACAAGTCCATTTCAGCATAGGTCGAGTAACATCTACATGTACTTCTGTTTCTATGTTTACAGTGAACATGCAGGGTGATATTTACCCCAAAGTTCTCAATTTACTTCACAAAATCTAGGACTTTCTGCCAAAATCAACAGGAAAACCCATCTATAATATTATATATCTAGTAAGTTATCATCGACTATATTGAACATCCATAAGTGGCTCACAGTCCAACAAAATCCTTCGCTTTGATCTACACATCCAAGACTTCACAAACTAGCTAAATTTCTAGCCCCCCCCCCCCTAAAAAAACCACCTCAACAACATTCGCAGTGATAAATGATAGCAACACATCATTGGCAGAAAGAAGGAACATATTTACTATTTTCAAAATGTTAAAAAACCCAAAAAATCATTTCGGGATCAGGTGATAAATTGAAACGATTGGCCAGCACCTTGGCAATACTAGACCATAATGAACGTATACTGCACCATGTGTCAAGACTTTCCTATTACCATCTACCTCCGAAACCACAAATGAAGAAAAAAAAGCTAAATACTTTTCTTGAAAGTTAAGATGAATGTTTAAAAAAACAATCATACTCAAGTTGGTTTGTAAAGCAGATAAAAAGTAACTGGTTTTCTATAAATTAAAAGCAATTTTAACAGACAGTATTGCACCATTTTGGTCCTTGACACTATTGGTCAGCCCAAACACAGAATATGAACATCAACTCCAGCACACGATCAGAAAAGCTAGTACCATGATCATTAGGTGGAGAAACAAGTGCGACAATGATGTACACTAAAAACTCAATACTTCATCTAGAAAACAAGTGTCAATAAATGAACCATACTGCAATATAAAACTGTTAAAATGAAATCTAAAAATTTTGTCATGAGAAGCTGGCTTCCTATATTTCAAAAATTAACTAAAAAAAATTTAAGAAAAATTATTGAAATGAAATTTGTGCTATTATACATCATGTCTTCTTCTTCCATTATAGTGTATATATTGACACATCTTGGCCTATACTTCTATATTTAAACTAATCAACACCTTATAAGCATACATGGACCTAAACATGCCAGTAGTTTTTTGTTCTGAATTTGCCCGCTCTTTAAAGCCTGTTTATAAGCTGAACATATCCATCACACAAATGTTTTAAAACGTGATTTTATTGTCCTTATTCCTACCTCAGTTTAATTCTACATTACAGACACTGAGTAGCACCCATCCCAGACCATTCTATACTCCACCTTATCTAATACAGTCCTGTGGGCAGGAAAAAACAGTGCGGAAGGCTGGAATGTTAACCACTTGGCCAAATTTACACTGCCCCTTTCGCCTTAATGATTGTTTTTGATGTTTTTGATTTTTTTGCTTTTCTTGTCTTTGGATTACAATTTCAAACACTTGTCTTCATGTAGTTTTAGTTCTAAATTTCAGATATGAGGAAATACATGGTTCAAACATTTACGTCAAAGGTTTGTTAATGTAATCTGGCTTCGAACCACTGGGCCCTGGAGACTAAGCAGCCTTGAGCATGAAACCAAGGACAGATTGAGTTTTAGACAAGGTTCTCCTGTAATAACAGAAACATCAAGAGAACCACCTACTCAATATTGTTACTGATCCATTCCCACTGTTACAGTACACCTTCGTACAGACTGATGGTTACAATACAGGTCCATGGTACATTTCTGACCGAATGTTTCACATCCACACAGGCTAACCACAGAATCACACCATGATTTCGTCCTCCTCCCCTATATTCTGCAGTCCTGGGATCGTAAGATAACTGGAGTCGTAGGAAGGAATACGACCTTGACCCACTAAAAACACGGCATCATAGTTCCCAGGAGATACCGGGTCATTTACACCATGTTCACCGGAGTCCACAAGGTCCTCACCACCGTAAGAATCCTCCGAATGTCTCCGCCTCTTCACCGCCTGCGTATAACGTGTTGGTAGGCGCCTTGGTGGAAGTGTAGCTCTCCGCTTTGTCATGTGCTTCAGCTGGGTTGGGGGACTGACTGTGATTATAAAAGATAGACATTGTTTTAGTTTGTTACTGATGTTACCCTGAATTTATTCATGTGATGAATACAAGTTCTTGTTATATAATCTATTTTTTTTGTGTGGCAAAATTTCCGTCACAGAATCACAAGTCTCTCTCTAACATGGTAATAGCCAGTTGGACATGTTAATCTTGTAAGTATTGTGTTATAGACTATCTGAGACTGATCATGATTCAATGTTGTTCTTCCTATGCAGGGCAAATTCTACAACATTTTCTATAATTTTGCAAAACAATATATGTACTTTGTTAGTTTTATTACAAATTTCTCTCATGAAACTCATCAAAATTTTCCTCCTCATTAAAAAAAATTCAATATTCCTCAGTTAGACTACACATTTGGTCGAATTCTTGAAAACTTACACACTCTAAAACTTTGGTTTACCATGTAAATGGAATCATTTAATGAAACTTTCAGCCAATACCTCAGAATTTGTTCCGAGGAAAGGCTCTAAAGCAAAAGTACACCTGCGAGCAGCAGTCAGCTTAAGCAGACGAAATGCAAATATTATTTTACTGCATGGAGCCATAAATATAAGCTTTACAAATGTCAACACATCAGCATGTAGCATCCTTAACCAATAGGTCAGCCGATTAGCATTTAGCGCAAGTATGTTAAATACATGTTAAATCACCCCTAATCATTATGTCAACCAATCAGCATTAAGCGTCAGTATGTTAAATATATGTTAAATCACCGCTGATCAATAAATATTTTGGCCATTCAGCAAGTAGTGCAAAGATGTATGTCAAGTTTATTCATTTCCAACCAATTTGCTGGTAAAAATGCAAACACACGTATTAATTAATTTTGTAAGGTTAGATCCAAAATCTGCAAAGCGCATGGTTAGGAAACACCCAGCAAGTAACGCCAATAAGACACAATGACTTACATATCAATGTATTTAGTGTCGCTGTCAAACCATAGCATTTAATTCTACAAAACACAACAAAGCTCAAAGCCAATTATCGTAACCTGATGGATAACATAGGTTATGTCCATTGGAATTCATGGCGTATATATAGGGCATAACGACAATGCTGAAATGCAACATGAGCATGGGATGGCTCAAAGATCTAGAGCACAATTTAAATTGCCTGTCAGGGCCCAGAATGTGATAGAATTTTATCCCAAATAGCAATAAGCCTCAATCTCCCAATTTTAGAAACGTAATCTCCTAATGTCAGTCAATTGTGGCTTAAGTTTTAGAAATGATATATTTTTTGGTACAAAAGGAAGAATTTTTGTTTTCACCAAGTAAATGTTATATATATGACTAAATTATCAACTTAAGTATTGTTTCTATGGAAATTATATGTTTTTTAAGAACTTGATTACAGGAGGAACATTCCCAATTTGATAGGCCTTAACTCATTCACCCCATTTTTTTTATTCCAACCTTTGAATAGAAGGAGTTCAAATGTGTATTCAGGGGAGAATGATTTAAGACCTGTTTTACACACATGAACATTGGCCCCAACTTCTGCAAATGGTTACATCATTATAGAAATTAAATCATTAAATTGTTATTCAATATTTCAATGAATTGTGGGTCAACAAGAACCTGTTAGAAAAATGACCACAGGAAGAAATCTGTCTGTAACAGACAGTAAGTAAAATGTTCTGTTAAAACTGTGCAGTTTACACACAACTAACTACTCGCAGTGTTGTAAGTATTCACACAAACGCAAGCAGATAGTTAACTTGTGGTACAGAAGCTTAAACACAAGCCGCTAACTCAGGATTTATAGCACTATCATCACTGTTTCCATTGCTTCATAGAGAGATTCTTCAAATATTTTATCAAATCAATATTCATGATATTTCTTCCAACTCTTTTAAAATCATAAAACATCAATATCAGGATCCTCTAAATAAAATTTATTCTGTACATGCTTAACACAAGGTCATTCAAACATTCAACAGACAAACTGGAAGAAATATAATGTCTCTGACATCAGGCTTGGTTGCAAAGTAAAATTGGCCGAGATTAGGAAAGACGAGTAGACAAAACGAAAGGAAAGGAAGAATGAAAAAGAGATTTTGTACTACTGGCTTCATGGCCTTGTAAAAGTTTTAAAAGGAAAAGATTAGGACAAATATGTTCTTTATGGCCATAACCGATAAAATATGACAACAAACTTAGATATACAGAAACAGGAAAGAAAAGAATACAAACACTAGGACACGCATCATATGATAAAAGTTACATTCAAGAAAACTTACTCAAATGGAAGACATTTTTTCCATGCTTTCTCATGTAACTCCAGTAAACATTAAGAATTCTGCCTCAAGTAATTATGATACAAAACCATGCAGAGACATTCATAAGACCTTACGGGCTTTAATGGAAGACTTATAATCAATTGATGGTAATATCTTGGTGACATTGACACGCCAAATAGAAATCAGATGCAGAAGATTTTTTTTTTTTTTTTCGCAATCCCTACCAATACTATAGGGTCCAATTTGCTACAAAATGAAAATACAACTCTCTGGAAATGCAATCAAATTACACGGAAGTCAGGAGTTTCATGCCGCAGGAGAGGAGACTATCGTACAATAGAAAATTTCTTTGTGAAAAAAGATCTCGTCACATCAACAGCAAGATGTTAGCGGGACCAACATACCTGGGTTGATATCGATCATTTGAAAAAGCTTTTGATCGAGTCTGAAAGCAGTGAATGGTACGCCAACAGTCAGTAAACATGTGTTGGTACAAAACTTGTGTAAGTAATCGCATAACACACATGACTACTGTCTGTTCTATTCTTCCTCGTGGAACCATTTTATGGGTCGATTCTAACTAGGAGATGTTTCAAGAATTTCGTAAGTCATACCTTATTTGACAACTCTTGTCATATGATCCAAGGAAAAAACACATGTAAAACTTCATCAAAAATCATATACCCAGTTCTTCAATAATAACACTCTTAAATGACAAGTAAAAAAATGCATACAATTTATCTTAAAAAAATAATTAGGAAAAGAATCATTGGATACAATTGTTTTAAAGGTTGTAAATAAATAGAAATATTTTAAAATTCAATAAATTACATTTTTTTGTGCTTTCCTGGAACAATTTGGCAAGAATATTTAACAAGGTCAGGTATGCGAACTTCTGCTGAAAATACTTGTATAATCTCCATAGAATAGTTCCACAAAAAAATAGAACATATAATGTAGTTTTAGAGCATGTCATGACGATGAAGTCGGACATGACGGCTGACACACACTTATGGTCCTACACTTAATCCTTCTCCAACAGATTTTCCAGACAAATTGTTCAAGATGCCTAAATAAGATATAAATTACTAATTTTTTGTGTGGATATTCAGCTTTTGTCACTGTAATTCAAATGTCCTGTTTACCAAAATCTGAATTTACAAAATGAAAAAAGAAAATTGATAAAATATGGAATAAATCCCTTGTTCAAATTTGAAAATAAATAAATAAGATATTCAAATGTACAAATGTGTGATCAGTTCTCTTTAGTTCACACTGAAAATACTGGTATATAGCTACTGGAATGCCAGTATTTTTTCACTGTCAAGAAAGTAAGTTTTCTTTGAACCTGGAGTCTGGAAGGTTTCAGCAGGGAGTAAGAATTCCATTGTGTAAATGACTAAATCACGTTAGCGTTTTCAATTCAAATCTTGTTCAAAACAACAATTAATTTTGTTAACCTCTTTATCTTACACTCATAAGTTGTTTTATTTGTTAATTGTTTTAAAGCAGATTAAGACAAACACACCTGTATATATCAAAGCACTATACACTGGTTACAAGGTTAACGAGTTATATATGCTAATTAAGCTTTGGCAGGTGTACCTCATCCTAGATTAGTAAACAGTAAATAACACAGTCGTGTGAACACCATTATTCCACATGAAGCTGACAAAACTACACCTCGTTTTCTATTTATAGTAGAGATTACAATTAGCAGGTAAAAACTAAACTACTATACTGCCACATATGTTTCGTTAATGTCGAAGACATTTATACTTTCTTACCAAATTTTAATCTGTATTTTTATAACCAAAAAAAAAAAAAGTATAATAGAAAAAAATCCCAATGTCTATGGTAAATTAAGCAATTTTCAAAGCTTAACATCTTCAAATAAATTTGTATATATCCTAAATTACACTCAAATGCACAACAAATATACAAGTCTGCCTTTTGAGAATATGTTTACTAAATGTGATGAGTGTCATATTTGGTCTGACTTTACAACTGATGAGGATAGGCCTGACATCAAAGCTGATGAGGAGAGGATAATGTTGCGGTGTAAAGCTATGTAGTTTACAAATGTGTGTGCTTCCCACTCTCTGCCTTTGAATCCAGCGTTATTAATGTTTGGAACGAATTGAAATTAATATACAACCAAACTGAACAAGCCATTTCTCATGTTATGCAGCTCCTTGAATTGTAATCAAGTGCAGTTTATTGCTTAAACTTTCGTTTTTATATAAAAAAAATCAAGTAGGATAACTGTTCTCTCCCTACAATTCAAATTTCTTTTTATGTATGACCTCACACGCTGTTTGCTGCACATACTTAAAAGATAAAACAAAGGTATCATTTCTGATTCATTGTATTCAATCTTAAGAAATAAATATTACCGGGTATTTGAAATTGATAGAATAACCATACCAAACTGGCTCCGATCAAAATGCTGGACTGGAGAATGTTTTACAGAATGTTTTCTAAGAACTATGTTCTGAGTGTGTAGTCACGCATTTGTAGCAGCAGTGCTCAGGCTATGTATTCATACACTTCAAATAACAGCAGCAGTTATGCTCTCATAAGTAAATGAACCTCCTGATAGAAAGGGTATATAAGGGTATTGCTAGAACAAATGAAAGATTTAGCGACACACATCAACTCAAACATAAGAAGAGTAGTTTCTGTGGATTTAAGCGGACTGGTTTTCATTACAATCACTAAAACAGTAGCTGCAGAAAAAAAGAGAGTGGCTTAAAATGTAACTTTACTGTTTAGATCGCAAGAAAACCCAGATTTATGACAGATGTGAGCGAGGAAGTACGTAGCCTGTGTATGCCATCCCAGTGGGAGTTAAATGAACACTTGGAATCACGCCAACTCCTCTGCCTGCTCTGCAAATACTGATAATGCTATACATATTTAAGCACTAAATGAGATCATATGTGTTCAATTTTGACATAAAAAAATAATCAACACAATTGTTTTTAGACAGGAGAAATAAGTTTGGTAGAGGTTTTTGAATTATGCTGAACATAATGTTATCAGAACTTGGCAGAACGGACAGTAGATGAGGTAAGACCATCACAGTATTGACGTGTAACCCATTACACTATTATACTTACTGAAAGACAGGAAGGCCAAAAATAAAGTGAGTGAAAACATTTAACAGAAAAGACACCAAGTGATAAAGTGATACATTGTTTGATGTTGTGTGTGACACATGTTGGATTGTTTGACATTGCGTGTGACACATGGTTAGTTGTTTGACATTGCATGTGACACATGTTGGATTGTTTGACATTGTGTGTGACAACTAGGATTGTTTGACATTGTGTGTGACAACTAGGATTGTTTGACATTGTGTGTGACA